TTCAACTACAACCACAGCGAACTGTGGCATGGGCAAGGTTTTTGAAATACGGACAAAAAATTGGTTGGGGATTCATCACTTAAGATTTAAATAATTGCTTGTTTACCGTGCGCCTGGCGGAATGTTTGCGTTATCATACCTGGAGAACGTGAGTTTAGCTTATTGATGAATGTTTTTTTTCCTGGTAATATTTCAAGGCGAATTTTCGTAGTTTATTTCATTGATAATGTTGCTGATTCTTTTTAAATTAAAGCAACATCCGTGACAAATAAGCTTTGATTTACATATCAGTAATTTTACTTCTGTAATGGTCATTCATTACGACAGAATAGAAGGTAGAAACAAGGGTCCCCCTATGATGACCGCGTTCATGAACGTGTATGCAAAAATTCTCAGCCTACTTTCATCTTCCTGGTCTGTGCAGGTTGGAAACGTTCCCGGTATCTAATGCGGGAGCTCTGCGTGATACCATGGAACGTTTGTTCCTTTGTATAAAAACCGGTTGATTTTGTTAACTGATGGCGAGAGTTACAGGATGCTAATTTGAGCACGCCACATTTTTTGCTAGAAGGATTCTAACAGTCAAGACGTCGTTTAAAACGGCTCCTGCTGTGCACTTGTGTCATTGCTTTAAACGGCGTTGGATATTAGACTCTAGCCAGTAATTCAGATATGCAGGACTCGGTTCAGACATCATTTGATACGTGACACAAAAGTATGAGAAGTTAATTAATGACAGTTAATGCTTATTTTAAAAGAGGAAATTATTACTTACTACAGTCAAACATTGTAAAGTTTTGTCGTTTATGAAATATGCATAAGCAACTATTGCCTACTTCCTGAAATGTGTCCCTGAAAACGCCTTTCTTTGCAGGCATTTCGGATCTGACGGTGGACAATATAACTGAGCACAAGAGGACGATTAACATACTGCAACGATTTAATGTCTACCAGGAAGTGCTGTTAGCAATCGTCTATCGTCTGACAAGTTTCAGGCAAAGGCTTGAACCGATCCTGTTCTATGTCTATAGTGTCTTCTCGCTAAACGGTTCCGGCCTTGTGGCACTGTGCGTTTTGGCATGGCTTTTTTCCGGCTCTTGGTTGGCTTCAATAATTTGGTAAGAATT